ATTTAATTTTTTCCACGTATTAGTCCGGCTTTCAGTTCAATCCTAGATCCATCCCTACTTCTTTCTTGATTATTTTCTATCCTCAGTTTTCTAAACATACAATAGTCCATAATAACATATGCACCATGCTTGGAATCCATTAAAATGTGTTTTTGGGGAAAAAATGTATTTTAAAAAAGTGAATTTTGAATAATGTGGTTAAAAAAGAAGGAATGATTTTAAATTTATATGTAATATTATTTTATTAGAGAATGTATAGTTGAGATGGAAAAATACATCTAAAATAAAATGGATCCCAAGTAGGGGGCATAGCTCCATAGTTGTGAGATGTGGTTGCCGAATTATCCGTCGTTATTAAAATAAATTTGATTGGTTTAAGGTTAAGGTTAGAATTGAAGATTTTCTTTTGGACAATTGTGATATTGATTTCGGAATTTTATTTTTTACACGAAGGAAAATAGTTTTCGCACTCAAACAAGTAAACGTGCATTTTAATTGTAGGTGTTGTTAACAAGTAAACATATCTAGTAAGAATTCCGTCATGTCTATCATGTCGACATTTTCGTCAAGTAAGAGTAACTAATTTTAAACAAGTGATGAATAAGTAATCATTTCAATAATTAAGTGATCAATGTATTACCTTTTTTAGTTTAATGAATAAGTAGTAGGGGAAAGTCTAATCATAATTTTTTTATTTTTTAATGACGGGAGAACTTATAATCGCTACCTTTCAGGTGTGTATTGGGTAAACTCTCAGAATAACGCAATAGCTTGCAAATCACATCAATCAAGTAAATCGCACTAGGCAAGTCCTGTGCGACACGCTAGACCGAGAAATGTTGGTAGGGAGAATCGAACTCGTAACTAAAGGCCTTCGCGCTCACCTACTCCACTAACTCGATTACAATATTTTGATGCATATTAATCCTAGGTGACTATAATTAACCAAGTAAACGTGTCACGTATAAATTGCAAAGAGTACATTGACATTTTCGTCATTTAATTGGTAATTTCTTTTAAGGATATAGTTTAGGTAGCATCGATTTAAGGCTAAATATATAAACACCACGATTTTTAATAATTAGACTATATTTTAATTGCATGAAAGATTCATAATTTTACACATTATCACATTTATGTCTCAAGCTTCTTTTTTTTTTTTTTTTTTTATTCACTTTTTTTTTCTAAAATTAA